CACAGCGGCTGTTGAAGGGAGAGTTCTGCTCAGTTTTAGGCTGGAGTGTACCCAGGGCAGATGGAATCCTCCAGGAATTTACCTGCCCAGCTCTAGTAAGTCTCTGCTGATCAAGTGTGAACTGCAGTGTTTCAAAGGCTTATCACTTGGCCAGATGTGGGCAGATTATTACAGGGACGGCAAAAGGCACATTCTGTTTCACACAGCAGTAGGTCAAAGCGCACTGGGGAACTTGCATGTGCAGTGGCAGGCTCCACCTGGACAGTTAGTGTGTAGTGCACTGGAGAACTGTAGAGGTACACCCCAGCTTGCTACACGCTATCTTCTCCTCTGGAGAAGCCCCCTGCCAAGTTGCAAGTCCCTGCTCCAAAGCATGTGAGCATTTCAAAGAAAGGTTTCCAAATATTTTTAACATGTAAAACAACATATTTTCTCCCTAGCCTCATTCTGTGAACTGGCTGAACCACTGCGGGTGAAATATTCCAAAATCATTCAGCCAGAAGCAGACATTCAATGTGTGCATTTTCAGCCCAAATGGTTAAACTCTGGCAAAGTTATAAGCAAACTGAAAACAGGGTCTTAAAATGGGAAGTGTCAGACAACCTTAGTAATAGGTGAGCCTACCAGCCCTGCCTATTATACTACAGTAAACATCTTTCATTCCTACTCCACCCCCATCCTAATGCGAACAGCTGTGGGTCAGTGTGATAAACTTTGTCAATGATTATTTGCAGTTATTTCTGTGGATGGGGTTTTTGCATTCCAGGTGGCCTTGCTCCACGTGCTGGGTCTCGGTCCCACAACGTTGTCCCTGCAGGTTGGGCCTCTGCATATGTCCCATGGAAGCAGGGAGCTTGCAGCTAGTCTTAGCCGCTCATGTGCCAGCTCTCTTGAGCTTAGCTTGTCATTCCTCTAGACCAGCTACGCTTCTGTCTCACTCCCCTTCTTGCCCAACCTCCTGCTGCCAGGCTCCATGGAACAGTGCAGGGCGAATTCACTGGGATCTAGATAACTAGCCATGGTGGCAAAAGCTGGAGAGAATGGGATGCAGGGGATGAGTCCCAGCAGACAGAAAACAAAATGTCAGAAGTTCTGGTTCCAGCAAAATGGTGACTTCCGCCGCATAAAGGCTAAATTCTGCAGCATCTTGGAAAAAAGCCATAGGCTATAAAATTGTAGAGTCTACAGGGCAGGTCACATCAGACCACACCTCCCAGCGTTATTGTTCTAGGCTTTCTGCAGGCATCACTCCGTCAATTTATATTTGGTCAAGGTTATTTTTGTAAGCACGGGTGTGATGGATGTTATAGCGAGGATTGAACTAGGGTCCTCCAGAGCTGTAACTGTAAGTTGCTATAGCTTGAGCTCAAGCTCTATAGGCAATACTGCTAATTATTCCTCTTTGGTAGATTGCCAGAGATGAGGCCTGCACACGCTCACCAGCAGGTTACACTAGAAAAACGTTTTATTTTATATGAAAGCAGAGATTCCGAAGCACAATTCTGCAGCAAAGGGATATTCCATGGCAAATTCTGTGGCTATGAAATACGCAGGATTTTTATCTAAGGTACCTTTTCACAGAGCATCCTGGCTTCTGGTCAGCACAGTTCTTATGCAACTATTTATCTGCCAACTTGAGGACGTTTTTCATGTTCATGCGCTAGATTGGGTCTCAGGAGACCTGGGTTCAATAGGTGGCTTTGCACAAACACATCTCTCTGTGCCTCAGTTCCCCCAGTGTATCTGGGGAACATTAGTGCTCTCCTGCCCCAGAGGGGTGTTGTGGTGGTAAATTCATTAATGTTTGCAAGGAACTCAGATATTGCAGTGGTGGGGTCCAGAGAAGTAACTAGACAGATGGGTCCAATTTTCAAAAGTGCTCAGTGCCTGATGTTCTGGTCTCTTTAGAAAAACCCAGATGGCGTCTGTTGGTGTCTGTGTGGGTGCTGTGCTGGTCTCAGATCCACCCCACAGTGCCTGTTGGAGCAGTGTGAGACTCCTGGCTCTGACTTCATCTCAGAACCCAGCCCATCCTCTGGCTTGCCCGGGTCACCTCTTAGGGCTGGCAGTGGAAGTGCCAGGGCTTTGGAATCCCCTGCAGAGTGAAAGCAGCAGCCTGATAAGAGATCCCTGCCTATCACATGGCTGGGTTGAGGGAGGACGGGTGTGTTCTCTTTCTCTCTTGGGGCTTGAGGTAGGGAAAAAGCTTTTGGGGGGATTGTAACCAGCATTTTCAGGTTTGTTATGTTCATGCCCATTGTTCAAAGGCCCTTACAAAGGACTCGGGCATGGAGTTTGCTTCCCTTCCCTTGCTGGTTGCACTAAAGCACTTGTATGCTCTGCCCATCACGTGCATTTATTAACTCTCATTGTGAATGCAGGTGCTTCCATAAATCCTCAGCTAGACATAGCTGTGTTTCCCTAAAACTCTGCAACTGCAAAATAACATCGAACCAGATAATGAGTGACTGTTGTTTTAAGTCAGGAGAGCATTGGCTGTGCAGCAAGCAGTGATAATCTCTCTTGTGCCCAAACATTTGCACTAGACTCACTAGAATGTGCTGTGTCACCTCAACCCCAAACATCTTCTGGTTATCCTCAAGTAACCTGTGACCCTGTATTCAGAACAGGAACTTTCAAGACATCAGCAGCAATTCCAGACAACAAAGCTGTAATGGTGGAAGGTCAGTTTGTATCTGAACTATAATGGTAACCATGCCTATATGCTCGGGTGCATTGTGTCTGTTCAGAGGTACAGGGCATCCGGTCTCAAAGAACAAGGTCTAAGTTAAGCAGTAATGAAACCACAATTGAATGAGGTGGGCACCAAGATCATGAGGAATAACACAGGAATTGCCAGACAGGACCAGACCTGTGGTCCTTCTACTCCTGTGTTCTGCCTTTGGCATTACCTCATGCCAGATGCTTCAGAGGAAGTCAAAAGAACCCACAGAAGACAGATGTGGACTAATCTGCCCCCACATTAAGTCTCTTCCTGATCTCTAATAGTTAAAGATTGATTTAAGCCCTGAAGGATGCAGTTTAATATCCCTCCCAAAATTTCATAACGTTAACTATTCTTTCTCTAGATTTTCTTGTTATCCATATAAATGGCTGACCCCTTTTTGAATCTTGGTAAATTCTTGGCCTTAATATCATCCTATTGCAATGAATTCTACAGTCTGGTTATGTATTGTGTGAAAAGGGCAGGAAGTTAAGGTTGGAACCAAGGGCCAACCAGTTCAAAGCTGGGTTTGTTTTTTTGTTTTTAAATCTGCCCAGAAACCCAGAGAGTTTAAGTGACTTGCCCAAGGTCACAGAGGAAGTCCATGGCAGAGCCAGCAATTGAACCCAGATCTTCTGCATCCCAGTCCTGTGCTTTACCCAAAACCTTCTTCTCAATCAGACTTCCTCAAAATTTGGTTCAGGTCCATCTCTAATAACAATGTTAAAATATGGAGAGCAGTAATGGATCTGCCTGAAAAATTGTTTGGAAACAGCAAATCATACCGAGAGCCTGGGCCTGAATGGTGCATTAAGATGAATAATTAAGAGTTGGATTCCTTTAGGAAAGGAAGAAATTTATTGCTGCTCTTCTCTCCAGTCAAGGGGGACATTTGTTATTGAACTGTGTAATTTGTGACAAGACACAATTTTTGTGTGTGCTATCTGGGTAATCAGCCTGCGGGAATTATGCATTCCGTGTTGATTACACCAATGTGTTGCTTTTCACATTTCATACCAAGAGTTTAAAATTTATGTTCCATTTCTGTGGTCCTTAATCAGATTTACTTTCAGTTAAAAATGCAAAGAAAGAAATATGGTCAGAACAGAATTCTCTTCTGATATGAGCCATAAAACCTTGGCACTTCCATACAAGGTGCCCTGGCACAAGCGGGAATGAAGAGTCTGATTCTGAGCTCACTCACACCAGTGTAATTCAACTAATTTCAATGGAATTACTCCCGGTGTACATCAATAGCAAGGATTGAGTCTGATTTTCCACTGCTTTGCCTGTGAAAAATCCAAATAGTAACTCACTTCGCGCTGGTATAAATAACGGTACGTAGGGGAAAGCAGTGAGGAGTCAGGTCCTAGAAGTGTAATTAAAGGGATGCTGTCAACTTAAATTGGGTCATGCTGTAAAAACTGAGTGGTGTAGTAGTAAAAATAAGCTTGTATAAAACCTAAGACGTACAAAAATGTTCCTGCGTGATTATTATTTATTATTATTTTAAATTATAATAAAAACGGTGGCTTTAAAAGAAGCAATCATCTCCCTGCAGTGTTTGAACTGCAAGTTCTGCGGCGTTTAGAACCTGATGGGGAGACGGTCTGTGAATGGGAAGTCATTGCTTTTTGTTGTCCAGCCAGCCTGAGAGAAAAAGCAACAAATAAAGAGCGTAACCGTGACAAGGACATGGCATTTCTAAAATGTCCTTCAATGCCGGTCATCTAAGGTGTTAGTAGTAGCCAAGGTGAAGAAACCTGTTTGACTGTGACAGGTGCTTTTTTGAAAAAGTGATAGTGTCACTTTAAAAACAGAATCGGAAATCAGAGATTTTTGAGGTGGAAAAGACCAACCAAAGCACTAAGTCCGTTTTCTTCCAAAGAAGGATACATTGCCCCATTAGAGGACGTAGGTTCAGGGTTCAACATTTGCAGGGTCATCCCTGGAGTGAATCTGTGTGTTGCCCATATGATCTATGAGTGCTCATATTGCCCAGTCCAAGCTGTGAGTCAACTCGGTCTGGATTTGACTTGCAGTGTATGGGCCCTGCAATGGGCTTGTATACTGTTGGTGGCCCTGCACTGTGTATGTGCAATGTACCCTATAGGAGCCCTTGGTGCAGCTTCTTCTTTTCTGATTACCTGCAGGCCTGTGCTGTATATGAGTTACTTTAGGGAAAGGCTCAGGAAACAATGAATGCCAGGGCTGGAGATTGAGCATGGGGTTGCTTAGCTTTATTAATCTTGCCCTTCTGCTCTTTGTTCTTCAGGAGAATCCTTGAGCTTTGCTGATGATTTGCTCTCTGGACTCGGAACTTCCTGCGTGGCAGCTGGCAGGAGCCATGGAGAGGTCCCAGAAACCAGCCTTTATTCGGTCATTTTCAAGTGCCTGGAACCAGACGGCCTGTACAAGTAAGAAAGTGATGGATGTAGGGTGGGATGGGGAGGAGGGTTGAGAGATAGCATATAATGCAGTTATTGGTTAACATTTTGATTGCAGTAGTGCCTAGAGGGCTGTACCAAGACAGGGCTCCGTTGTGGTTGGCACTGTACAAACAGGTTTGTTGGGTGCGCATGTCTTGACTGTGTGTTAGGAGCCGAGACAGGCTCAGATCATGAAACTGAGATCCAGTTGCCCAGCATTGGAGAGACTGGGGCTGTTTGGATCTGGGAGTTTGGTTCGGTTCCACGAATGGGTAAGTGGGATAAAAGAGATCCCACTGAGGTAATCGCAACTCTCTGATATCATGTGCATGATGGGATATGGTCTGCCTCACTCTGATGAATTGAGCCAGCATCAGGGAGATTGGAATCTGACCCTAAAGGGAGTTCCTCAGAGGCAGCAGATGGGTTTGAGTCCTTGCCAGATTCTCCCCTCTCCATTTCCCCGCTTAGCAGGCAGGGCAACCAGAGGCAGTATTATGAATGTTACAGAATGGCTTAGAGTCCTCAGTGTGTTAGACACTGTGCAAACATGCTGTGAGGGACACGCTCTGCCTTGAAGAGTTTCCAATCCAAATAGACAACGGAAGTGTCATTGTCCTCATTTTTACAGAGGGGGGACTGAGGCGCTGAAGGACACAGTGACCTGTCCAAGGTCACATAGGCCCAATTCCCTTGCCTGTGCTTTACCTGCAAGACCACCCTTCCTCATGTCTGTGCTTTCCGTGCGCTGCATCCCCCGCGTGGCTCAGTTGGCGTACAGGGGACGGGGAAAGGTAGGAGAGCAAACGTAAAAAAAAGAGAAAGAGACAGAAAAAGAGTTGAGAGAGAGAAACACCCAGGCCTTAACGTCAGAGCGGCTGTAATAATTAAAACACGTTTTGTAGTGAGTAATGAAACTTTTTATGGGACCACAAAGGCAGTTAAATTGAGAGCTGGCAAATGGACTGTCAACGAGAACTTTTTAAGATCTTGATTAATACTTTCCCTTCACCTCCCGCTCCGCCCTCTCTTCCCCACCCCATTAAGTACGTTGACAACCTCCAAAGAGGGAAGAGCTTTTATTGCACAACTCTGGTGCTGTGCTGCATCTGGGAGCAGGCTCCAAATGGTGCTTGCCATTGAATAACTCTAAATGTTTCCTTCTTAAAATATATATAGGTATGTAATATAATTATTAATATCACTGGGAATGAGCAGATGCCAGGAAGAGTCTGGAACGGAGCTGGCTAATGATTTGCCTCCAGTAAAATCTCGTCACTTGCGAGCTATTGGCAGCTTGGTCCTTGGTTGTCAGAAGGGATGAGCAATTCTATTGGCCTTCCAGTCTCTGGGGAGGCTAGTCTTGAGGTTAAAGCATTGGGCTGGGAGTCAGGAGAACTGGGTACTGGGTCCAGACTCCCTGTATGACTTGCCAAGGCACCTTTATGACTCAGTTTCCCCATTTGCAAAATAGGGGCATGATCCTTGCCTGCCTCCCAGAGAGCTGTATGGCTTAATTCACCAGTGTTTGTAAAGGGTTTGGGGATTCTCAGGTCAAAGATGCAGAGCTTTATCATTTGTCCAAGGGCATGTAGACAAAGTGTTGTCCTCTCCTTGGGCCAAAGGCTCCTCTCTGCTGCACAGCACTGAACCCCATAGCAATGGAGATGGGGAGAGGTGGTCCTCAATTAGCGAGCAGCCACCAGCATCCCTGCTAGCTACTCTCAAGTAGAACATGTGTGCATTAGGGAGTGTGTGGCTGGGTGGATTTGGGAAGCTGCTGCTCTGTGCAGTCCGCCTTCAGGGGAAGTGGGCCAAACCTCCGTGACCGCTTGATGTATACAATGATGCAGCAGCCTTCTGTACTAAAAGCCTGAGCCACCTCCCGTTGCAGTCACTGGGAGTCTTTCCACTGACAACATGGGCTTTGGGTCTAGCTCTCTATCTCCTCTCTTCATGCCTTTCAAAGACAAGTTGGAACTGGGAGAGCTAGCAGATGTTCTGGGAGTATAGGTGGGATTTGGGAGGCACACAGAGAGGCTCCATGCATCTGACTAAGGATCTGTGGGGCTGGGCAGCCATTTCCCTGGGGATCCCAGAATGCTACGTGCACACCAGCACATACACACAGATGCTAGCATCTGTGCACACACACTGGTCCATACACACGTATATAGGGGCTGATATGTGTATACATCTAAACATACACATTCACACACTGGTACATGCACACGTCAGTACGCGCACACACCTGTCTGTAAACATACATGTTCACATGCAGTGTGTGCGTGCACACACCCCCCCCCCCCCCCCCCACACACACACGTAGTGTAATCCTAAGGACTGTTCTCTGCAAACACCCATACAGTTGTGACACAGAACGCAGAAAGTCAGGGCAGTGACCTGTGAGGCTAATGCTCTGTTCTGAACCCACGCAGACACAACTAAAACAAAACCCTGGGCACAAGGTTGGGTTTAAAATTGAATTTCTTCTTCTTGTTTCGCTTTTTTTTATTTTTGTGGAAAAATCTCTTTCTTGGAAGACTCTAAAATGGGCAAAATCCAGTTTGCAGCAATTCGGTCAAGAGCTGAGATTTCTTTCAGGCTGTCCGGTGAATGCACATGCACTGTGCTGCATCAGTGTTTTTAAAAGGCAAACCCTTTTGCCGTCTGGACAGTTGGAGGGCATCATCTAAAGAGAGCGACAGACCTGTGCGATCACACAAGGCTGATCAAATCCGTAAATGTGGATCTGACGTCCTGTCCATTTGGCTTTTCGTTTTGAATCACCTAAAGCAATTAGGCAACACTATTGACGAATCGCTCAGTGCATTTCTGTCCTTAGATCAAAGCCAGGATTCAGTTTTTTAAGAAAAACAAAATCTTTGAACAAACAAGCTAACTGATTTTTCTGTTTTTGAGGTTTCTGTAATTGAAACAAATAAACTAACAAAAGCAGAACTAATTTGTATGTCTTTCTTCATTTTCAGTTTGATGAGAACAAGTTCCCTTCCAGCTTGGGCTGTTCTGCTTGTAAAACATTAGGGTTGTTACACCAATCCTACAGCACGAGCAGATATAATACACACGTGCCTACCTGTAAACACATACACATGCAAGTGTGCATACACACAGATACCTGCGTACAAATGTGCACACACAAATGCATGCATGTACACACAAATCCATACTGAAAACACGTGAATGCCCACTTAAAAATACACAGCGGTATTGCTTGTGGGTGTTTTTTGAGAATACAGTATTTGGTGTATGTCCCTTAAAAAAAAAAAGAGAGAGAGATGAACTAAATATCCTGCTGGCAAAATGTGCCATGAGCAAGAATTCCTCTCCCCATAGAACAGCAGAACTCAGGCAACCCACTCACTCCTCCAAGCCTGGTCTGGCAGAGTCACCTCCATGTCTGGTCAATGCTTGGCTGCTCCTGGGACAACCAGCAAGGGGCGTAATTAGTGCCAATTGTACTGATGGTTTTGTGATAGTGCTGAGACCCCGTAGCTCATTGCACAGCAGCCATTAAATGGGAAGGGCTGTCCATTGCATCTGACCAAAGGCAAAGATCAGCCTAGAGGTAAAAGGTTCCATCACCCATAACCCAACCCCAGAGGTCCACCAGCTTCCTTTATTCCCCTCTCCTAAATGGGACTTGTTGGGTTATCTCCTTTTGCACACCGCAACCTCCCTACCCCTGCAACCAACCTCCCCCGTCTCATCTCCTTACCTAGCTGCTCTCCGAGCACTTAGGACACCAGTTTACTGAGCTGTAAAAGCCGTCCGCATCCAAGTGCTGTACCTGATCAGATGCTGGAGAGCGGGATTGCTAGCCAGCATGTTTATTTCAAAGCACTTGGGGAGAAGCCACTAGCTGGGGGCCAAAGAGGGAGATTTTGGAAAAGGAGATGAAACCTCTTCTGGCTCTTCTATAGATCGGCTCTGCGAAAGCAGAAGCAGCACCAGCCGCTCTTTCCTCCACCAGAGATACTATAATTATAGATTAGATTAAATCCCAATGTTTCACTTTATTTACATTCCTGACCTAGCCTATTCATTTCCGGTGTTTGTGCCAAGAATCAGCACAAAATTTACTGGAAACAATATGGAAGTCATCAGGAACCCCTCCAGAGCCTCTTCCTTGGAGCGTGTCCTTCTGCCGAGAAGGAGCCTCCAGCCTCCCGCTGAGTTTGCTTTTCCCCTCGCCATGCCAGATAGGCTACCTTGTTGTGTTGCTGACCTGACCCGAAGCCTCTCACCATCCCGAGCGTGCAAATGTGTCAGAGGGGTCATGGGGAGAGAGGTCGCTGTGCATCATCACCTCAAGGAGACAGAAACTTGGAAGCCAGAGGAAATGGCTCGTTGTGTCTCGAGCTCTTGATGGGGAGCTGCGGAAGAAAGGTCAGTTCCCTTGGATGGAAGTGAATTATAGCCATGTGACTACAATCAGACCTCAGAACAGCAATAAACTCTACTCCATGGGGCTGCAGCCACAGCCAGCAAATCCTGCTAGCCAGCTTAATCCGCTAGCTGGCACAGCAGCTGTCTCCAGTGCAGCTAGGCTTAGCCTGTGCAAAGTGTATATGCCTTTTTGACGGCATGTCTGTCTATTTATATGCATACAAGAGCCTGCTAATGCTGGCAAATGCCTGCTGCTCTTTAGTTGGTAGGGATTGTTATTGTTCGTATATCAGAAAGACACATGAGTGAGCTCAGTAGCCAGCAGCAGCAGATCCTCAAAGGCCACGTCTACCCTCCGAGCGAGGGGTTTGATTCGTACTGGGTAAGAGCTGGTGTGGGTGTAGAGCGCCGTGTCGCCGGGATAGTGCCGGCGATGGCAAGCTATGCCAAGTCCATACTCATGAGGGTCAGGCACGTTTGTGCTCAGCATAGCTAAGATGGGCCACCTACTACTTATACTCGTGCTAGTTCTCGCCAAGTACGTCTACACAAGCAGGGACTCACCCCCAGCTCGTAGT